AAAGGGTACCGATAATTTGGGATGATATAATAAATCTTTGGTTCCCCAGAGGTTTTGAGAGAATGGAGGATCAGTTATGGAAATGGAGGTGCCTAGTAAGTGACAGCACTGAGAGCAGAAGGAAGCCTGAGACAAAAGTGATAACAAATGCCTGTGGAGATGGGAGAGGCAGTCTCTGGTGCTCCAAAAATCCCATCCAAAAAATCTTGGCAAAAGGAAGTGGCAGACACTGTCCAGTAAATATCTACTACTCTCTTATGCTAGAAGCAGAAGCAGAATATAAGGGCGGGGTGGGGGGAGGATGGGTGAACCAGGGAATAAAGAGCTGAAATACAGCCAAGACAAGGAAGGCAGAGTGGATAGCGTGTTGTTACCTGAAGTCTGTGACGATATTCATTGCCATCTGCCTAATGGAACTGGAGATGAAGTTCGGTGGCTCCTCCTTGATTAGCTCCTATCTCACACACCACACACACACACACACACACACACACACACACACACACACACACCACACACACACACACACACCAAGAGGAAGGTGAACATATTTTTCTTGCCTGTCTCCACCTCCCTTCACTCCAGACTGTGAAGATAGAACCCAGAATTTTCAGGGACTTCCGAAGACTCTGAGGATAACACCTCTCTCCTACTTCCTCCCCTGCTGCACTCACCCCTGCCTTGAGGATGGGAAAGGGAACACTGAGGCCCGAAAAAGACACTGAAAGTCTGGACTTCGACCCTCCAGGCCTAGCTTAAGAGCACTACCAATGGTTTCCACGAGGACACATCTTCCCTCCTCTCTGCATTCCCACCTCCATCCTCCTGAGAAGTACTTACCACCATGAGGTTTACAATGTCTAGTTTGTGAGGGAAATTGAATTGAAAGGCCTTGCGCTGGCTGCCCAGGATGTTTGTCAGTGTGGTCAGGGCATTCAGGTAATCCAGCTTCAGGTTCTTATCCTGAATGAACAAATATGCTCAGAGACCTCCAAGGTGGGAATGATCCTGGGGCAAGGGCACACTTCCTACACGAAGTCTGCAGGATGAAGAGCTAAGCCTTCTGTAGCCTTCCTTAGGTTGGCACTCTGTGTCTTTCTGCTGAGGGCAGCCCAGGGCATCTCTATAGGACATAGGGTCATCCCTCTCATCAACCCCCTCTGGAGCCCCTTCCTCACATAACTCTTAAATTAGGATAGGTCTAACTTCCTTATCTCTCAACATATTGTCTTCCCCCTGAATAAGTTCTACCAAAAGATGTGTAGTTGGGATTGGGAAGAGGTTCTTCTCCAATCCTGGGGACACATGTTCTGGACAGATAGCAAAGACAAGAAAATAGTACGGGGGTCCCTCTACCTCCCCTAAATGCTTCTTTTTATGAATGTTAAGAAATTTAGGTTTCACTCATCCCTTCATCAGAGAGGGCAGTGAGGAGCCCAAAGGCATGTTACGCAGCAGGCCATCAGGGAAGGAGGCACTTTCAACAGACCTGAAATTATTGTGGTCTCCTCCTCGGGCCAGTTAGTGTCTCAGAAAAGCATGATTAAGTGAAATGATTGAAATGTGAGAGAGGATGTAACCATACTAGCCCCATCCCGAGTCCCATCCAAGGCCAGGCATCTTGACTTTGGAGAAGAGAGGGCAGGGATGGGATGCAGGAGAAGCAGAGTAAGCAGGAAGTACCTTTTCCACAATGCAGTTGTGGTAGTGTTGCAGGACCAAGGCCAGGATCGCATCTAAATGCATGAAGATGGCTCCCTTGCTCTCTAAAATAATCTTGCTATAGCTTAAGTAGATGGTGTTACAGACCAGCCCCCATTCCCTTTGCTGATGTTCCTGTAGGAGGAAAGGGGAAACTTGCTTTCTCCTCACCTTATCGCCCTTGCCTGCTGGAGAAAGGAAGGTTCAGAGAAGAAAAGGTTGTCCAGAGGGTGCAGAAGAGAAAATGAGGCTGTGGAATAATAAGCAGCTGGAGAGAGTAGGGGGTGCAGCTGGTATACCAGAGCCTGAAGTGTGGACATGAATTGAAGGAAAGAGAGAAGAGAATGAAACTTCCCCACAGTTGGTCAGAGGAAAAGAGAAGCATTTTTTGGAGTCACGAGGACTCAGAGAAGTGAAGAGGCTGGGATGATGGGGATGCATTAAAAGGCTTTGTGTGGGAGGCTGGCAGAGCCCCCTGGGAATGTCATCACCTTCATCAATTGGAGGATGGATGATGAGTCCTTGTCCGTGAGTATAGCACTATAAACTTCCAGCTGGTCCAGGACTGTTGTTAGATGTTTCATGGACACGATACTGAGCGCCACAGCAATGCCCTGTAACAGGGATAGTCTCAACTTCATGTTACAGCTCTGGATGAGCCAAGCATCTGCTTTGTTCCCCCAGAAGCAGGGATTAAAAGAGGAAGAGAGAGAAAAGGGAGAGAAAAGAAATGGAAGGAGAATTTGGTTCCCCGGACTGGAACAGTTTAAAATCCAGATGGAGACCCAAAATCTTTGCAAGAAGTAATTCAAGAAGCAAATTATCCCAGATTAAGACAAATTAGAAGCCATATTTACAAAATCTTGGTATTATCAAATCCTACATCGCACAATAGAGAATACTCATATGCACTAGGAAATCAGAGACGGGCTGTTCTGAGGAGGGAACAGAGGGGAAGAACAAATCCCAGACACCTTATCAACAGGACTTGAGAGCTGATCGGAGAGGGGACAGTAGAGAGGAAAGAGTCAGAGACAATGTCAGTATTTCCAGTTCTGAAGAACAGGAAACAGCAGTAACTCTAACCAAAATGGGCAATTGGAAAAGGGGGCCTATAGGTTGGAGAGGGAGGAAGGAGTGTCTTTCTGGATTTGTTGTATGGGAGGCAGAACTAAGAGGAAATGGTGTTGGTGCCAGTAGGTCTGGAAGTTGGGGCTAGAAGTGTGGGTCTGGGAATCAACAACCCAGGGAGAGCCAAACCCGTGTAGGCTTGGGGATTCTGTGGCTCCTGCCAGGAACAGTCTTTAACTTCAGTTCCTCTGCCTCGTAGCAGGCCCTTGTGACTTCAGCCAAGCCTCTTCCTAGAGTGTACTCAACAAGGATAACTGAGCACAGAGCTAAAGAAACACCCAAATCAGACATGCAGGTGCCAGCTGTTCGTGAACTGGGTCATTTGGGCAGGAAGGGCTGCCATTAAGACTTAACAGCAAGAGAAGGCAGAGTGGACAGGACCTGGGGATAGTGACAGGCTCCAGGACACAGATCCTTGAGAAGGGATAAAGTATTGGTGGTACTGTAGATTTTTGGACTCCAAGTAGATGAAGGGAAATTTTTACCTAGTTAGAAAGCAGGGACTAGTGGAGTATCAGAATGGGGCTCCATTCTGTCCCTTTTCTTATGCTCTCCCTTAGCCATGGCTTCCGCTCATCATGATCACTGTCATCAGCAGCAGCAAAACTGACATCATCAGATTATTGGTGTTTAGTTTGTACCAGCCTTATATATGTTATTTCATTGATCCTTACCCTAAAGTTTTGAGATAAACATTATCATCCCTTTTTTATAAACAGGGAAAATACAATGTTTCCCAAATCTAGACATCAAGCCCAGATCCGAGTTCCAGATCTACATGGCTACCAGACATCTCTATCTATACCTGAGCTATACCTGAGCACTCCAACCCCTCGTAGTCAAAAACTGAATGGGTCCTCTTCCTCCCTCTTTTGTCCTGGGTTTCTGGTCTCAGTGAAGAATACCATTCTCCTCCCGCTGAGATGCCAGAAACCCAGGAACCATCCTGGACATCCTTCTCCTTTTTATATTTATCTTCTATATCCAATTTGTCCCCGAGTGCTGGCAGAGTGGTCACCTTTACTTCCTTGTCAAAGAACTCTGCATTCCAGTCCCACCAGACCACTGACTATTCTCTAGACGGGCCCCCAAAGTTCTTGCTCTCTAATCTTGACTCAGAATATTATGTCAATTCTAATGTCTTTCTCTCTCCTTCTCCTAAACTCACCCCAACAAGCCCAAGTCCCAGCCACCCCATGCAGCCATTATGCCTCAGTGACCACTTATATAGCCTTTAGTAAGGCTATTCTATGTAGTTAGCTGTTTCCTTCCTGTACATGTCTTGTCTCCCCACTGATACTGTTTGCAACTTGGGCTTGGTAAATACCTGCTGATAACCGTGATGGTGAAGGATGCTCTGAGAATCTGGCAGGGGAGGGGCACGGGAGAGGGAAGACCTGAAAACATGGACACCAATGCTACCAGTAATCAACACTTAGAGAGTACTTATGTGCCAGGCATTGTTCTAAGTGCTTTTTCATTTTTAAGCCTCAAAACCACCTAGGACATACATCACCTCTGTGGCATTCCCACCAAAAATGCATAAGCTAAATCTAATCATGAGGAAATATGAGACCAACCAAAAATGAGGGACATTTTACAAAATAACTGATCTGTACATTTTTTAAATAATAAAAGATAAAAATGAGGACTTGTTCTAGATTAAAGAAGAATAAAGAGAAATGACTACTAAATATACTATTTGATTCTAAATTAGATCCTGAACCAGAGGAAAAAAAATATTTTTCTTTTGTTCTAAAAAACATCAACATGACAAATGATGATTTTTAAATCAGTTCTGTAAATTAGATAATACTACAGTAGCAATGTTGATTTCCTGATTTGGATCATTGTACTGTGCTTATATAAGAAAATATCTTTATTTTTAGATAATACACACCGAAGTATTTAGTGGTAAATGGACATCATGACTGCAACTTCCATTTCAAATTAAGAAAATACAATAATAAAAAGTTGATAAATAAATGATATTATTTATATGAAAGAGAGAATGATAAAGCAAACATAGGAAAATGTTAAGATTTTGGGGATCTGGGAAAACAGTAAACAGAATATCTTTAGGGAATTTTTTTGCAACTTTTCTTTAAGTATGAAATTATGTCAAAATGAAAAAACTTTTTAGGATTTATGCCATGAGGATGGTACCATATCCTCATTTTAGAGGAGGAACCTGGGGCTCAGAGAGGTTCAGTAACCTGTCTGAGGGCACATAGCTAGTAGGTGGCAAAGCTGGAATTCCACCCATGTGGTCTGGCTTGCCAGGTCCGAGTCTTTAGCCACCTTGCCATCCTGCCTATTAAACTAAAAATGTTCCCCGCTTTTGCCAGTGCCCTCTATCTCACCTCCCTCTCCTGAAGCTCCTCATGGGCAGTTTGCAAGATGGAGGAGAGCATCATCTTCACCAGACTTACTTTCCTTGAAGTCCTCAGAGTGAAGCCAAATAATTTATATAGGAAAGCCTAGGAGAGGTAGAAGTGTGGGGTCATGCATAGCTTGGAATGAGGTTAGGGCAGCCTGGGGAACATGCATTTCCAAGACTAGCTTTGTCACTATCAGCCACCACCTTCACCCACTGCCCTATCCTCCACCATGGCCCTCTTGCTCTCTGGGGCCATCTAGATGAGGTAGTAATCCTATCGAGCAGGAGCTCAAGTTAGAGAGAAGAGAAAGCTGAATTTCTAATTTTTTAGCCTCTTAGGGATCATCTGTTAGGAGCCTTCCCTAATCCACATACTTCCCTACTTCTAGCTAGGAAATAAAAACAGTTCCTTAAATTTGCATTATTTTAAAATAAAAATTACATAATTGAAAAACTTTATGTAATCTTTCTCTCCCTCCATTGAATTTCAATGGCCTTTATCCTTGTGTACTGCACATTGCCCTGTCTACCTTCTAATACCAGCATGTGTGGACTCACCCACTCCCCTATCTCAGGTTCTCTACATATCCTATTTTCTCTGTCTAGAAACCTCTTCCCTGGGTTCTTCAAAATGTCTCACTGTCGTCTTTCAGATCTCAGCCCAGTGAGCATTCCCTAAGCTCCTAAGCTTCTCTCCAGCTCGACGTACTGTTTTTCCCTTCAGAGCTTCGTTGCAATCACTCATTCTCTTATTTATGGATTTGTTTGATTAGTTCCTAACTTGTCCCAGCCCCCCATCTCCAGTGAGAACAAAGCCAAGGAGCAGTGTCTGTCCCATCCATTGCTCTGTCCCCAGTGCTGACACAGCACTTGATACAGTATGCAAACAGGACATATCAATGAATGTCTCACCAGGTTTTAACTCTCCCCTAACACTTCTCTATAGGCACCTTTTCCCCGCTCTAGCAGATGCTCTTGATGCCTTTTCCAGACCCGAGGGTTCCTTCCCTTCAACTGACTACAGGTACTTTTGTGAATAGCTATCTCCCGCAGCCTTCTGGGGAGAATTACCCTAGGGTGACTGGGCCCTCCTTGCCTGGGGTACCTGGGAGCTATATTCTTCTCTCTCTCCTCCCTGTCCTGTACCAAACTTGGAAACTTGGAGCCAGTGATAGACAGGCCAGGGGAGTGGTAGGTACAAAAGCCTCCCTCACTTGTCTCCAGGCAAGATAGGCTCTGAGGTACAGTTTCCATCCAGAGCTCTCATGGGATCAAGCCACATCCTTGCTTAATCTCTTCTCTCCCCTATCCTGCATCCTTTACTCTATCATAGCTTCTCCAGAGAGCACTTCCTTGCTAAGTCACTTAACAAGAACCCTCACCTGCTCTGCACAAATGAAACCTGACCTAAGGCACCTACTTCTGTTTAGCAAATGACGACTCATTTTTCCAGATATATTCACTCCTCTGCAGGATGATTCATCTTCCCAGTTTGCCCAGGACTAAGGTGGTTCCCAGGAAGCTGAACTTTCAGTGCTAAAATTGGGACAGTCTTGAGCAAACCTAGGCAATGGATTGCTTCTGAGAAAGCATCTCTGTCCAGCTCCCACAGGCCTCCTCTGTGCTCCCAAGCACACAGGGCATATCTCCATGCTGACACTTACAACACTTATAATAATTGCCCATTTTCTTGTCTATTCATTCAAGCAGACAATGGTTTCCTGAAGGCAGAGTCTGTGTCTTTTATATGAGCACCCTGCATCTAGTCCAGTGCCTGTTATGCTATAGGCATTTAGTACATATTTTTAAATAAATGAATTAATAAGATCAGAATTCCTATTGCTTCTTTATATCCCTGATTTACCATCCACAAAGCTGTGCATATAGTAGTTGCTCCATAGATATTTGTTAATAATAATAGAGCAAGTAGTCTTGGAAATAAGGCCTCTTTTCTGGAAACCCCCTAGAATGGGTTCCCCAACCCCCAGACTGTGGACCGGTACCAGTCTGTGGCCTGTTAGGAACCAGGCTGCACAGCAGGAGGTGAGCAGTTGGGTGAGCCAGCAAAGCTTCATCTGCATTTGCAGCCGCTCCCCAGCACCAGCATCACTGCCTCAGCTCCACCCCAGATCATCGGGCATTAGATCCTCATAGGAGCACTGGTCCCGGGTGCCAAAAAGATTGGGGACCGCTGCCCTAGACCCCAAATAAAGTATTGCTCACTGACAAGAAAACAAGATTAGAAATCAAGAAATCTGAATTCAGGTGTCAATTTTACCAATAATTTGCTTGAGACTCTAAATCCTTCTGAATAGTGTTTCTTCATCTACAAGTTAGGGATTATGACAGCTATCAGGTTATTTAGCCTTTGCATTCACTGGCATCCTTGTTTAATCCTTGTCTGTTCTCTGGTGATGTAGAAGTTACTTTTTGCTGCATCTCAAGTGAGGCAACTGAAATCTCAAGGATGCTAGGACACTTGACCCAGATTACACCAGGAGTGCATGGAAAAGCCAGGGCCAGACCCCAGGCCTTCACCACCACAGATCTTGTGCTCCACGAGGAAAGGAGCCCATCTTCCTTCCTTAGCTCTGTATCCCCAACACCAAGCACAGTCCCTAGTCTATGACATGCCCTCAAATATTATTTGAATTCACTTGCATAAATCTGACTCTAAATTCAATAATCTTCCACTACACCCAAGTACCAACTCCATCCTGTTACAGAATAGCTGGGAGGTTCTATTAAGACAGCAGATGGCAAAGTTCTTGATAAAGCCTAAAACACTAAGAAAATTAAGACACTTTGATATTTTTGCTGTTTCTGTGTGACCACCAGCTCCTTGTCTTCTCCACCCCTTGATTCCCAGGACACAGGAACACTAATTTCTCTTCCCCAAGTCCTATATCTCGTGTGCATTTCTATAGCCCCTCCCACCAGGCTCCTCGGAAACTACCCTCCACCCCACTGTTCCCCTGCAACCACCACACACCCAGACACACCTTCTCCTCACCATCATCACTGAAATAACTTATCTTCTCCAAGACAACTCTGATGAGGTGCTCCAGCCAGTTGTCATCATCGATGGCCACTAATGACTGACTTGAAAACTGAGGAAGAGGAAGGGATAAGAGGACCATGAAGGACAGTGGCTTGGATTTTCTGCCCCACGGAACTGGGGTCAGGAGGAAGCAAGAGATAGGGAACATGATCTGTAATAGGGAAAAAGAGCTCAAGAAATGGGGAAGAGCTGAAATACGTGGAAGGCATTAGTCGGTACTGAAGAATGATGATACAGTGACAATGATGGTAACGCCAGCTACATGTGTGAAGCCCTTTCCATTTTACAAGGCCCTTCCCTACTATCATCATATTTAATTCTGCAAGACAGGAGTTACTTTTGTTTTACAGATGAAGAAGCTGAGGCCTACAAAGGCTGAATAGATTGCCTAAGGACACACAGCTAGGGTCCTTTCCTTTACTCCCCGTTGATGTAGGGCTTTGAAAATGTGGCAGGTGAGTCAAGGCTTAGGATATAGTCAGAAACTCTGATGCAAGGACCAGGTAGCAAGAGGACCACAGAAAGAGGTTCTCTTGAGCAGGGAGGTCCTTGATCATGGCCTCAGTCTCTGGGTGGGCTGGGACTCTCTTCCCTCAGAATCCTGAAGAGGGAAAATGCAGCAAGCAAGGAGGTGGGTAGCTTTTGGGGAGTGCTTACCTGGAGCAGCCTGCCCTCCCACTTCTTCTGATTCAGGTTCTTCTCAGTGTGATCTAGGAAAGGAGAGAGCTTGGGGACCCACCCAACCAGAAGGCCCCAGCCAAGGAAAAAGAACCAACATTTGAATACTATGCCAGGCACTGAGCCTATAAGATAACTGCTCGCCCACTTTACAGAGGCTCCAGGAGATGAACGACTTTCTAAAAGTCAAACATACACACTTGGCCAGTGTCCAAG